AGATCTCAGAAGTTATGCAGACTTGGGTCTGATTAGTACTTGTATGGGAGACCAACTAGGGACCCCAGGTGCTGTAAGCTTTTGTTTATTTCTTTTTTAGATTATGATGTCATAATCAGAACACTTTTTTCCCTAGTCAGAAGCGTCTTGTCTTTTGTCGCAACCAGTGTTTGATATTATACCAACATCAGCGATATCAATTTATGCAAATTTCGCCTACGGTCATACCAGTCTGAAAGTGCCTGATCTCGTCAGATCTCAGAAATCATGCAGACTTGGGCCTGCTTAGTACTTGTATGGGAGACCAACTAGGAACCTCAGGTGCCGTAAGCTTTTGTTTATTTCTTTTTTAGATTATGATTTCATAATCAGATCACTTTTTTCCCTTGTCAGAAGCGTCTTGTCTTTTGTCGCAACCAGTGTTTGATATTATACCAACATCAGCGAGATCACTTTCTTCTAATTTTGCCTACGGCCATACCAGTCTGAAAGTGCCTGATCTCAGAAGTCATGCAGACTTGGGCTTGCTTAGTACTTGTATTGGAGACCAACTAGGAACCTCAGGTGCCGTAAGCTTTTGTTTATTTCTTTTTTAGATTATGATGTCATAATCAGATCACTTTTTTCCCTTGTCAGAAGCGTCTTGTCTTTTGTCGCAACCAGTGTTTGATATTATACCAACTTCAGCGAGATCACTTTCTATTTATTTCGCCTATGGCCATACCAGTCTGAAAGTGCCTGATCTCGTCAGATCTCAGAAGTCATGCAGACTTGGGCCTGCTTAGTACTTGTATTGGAGACCAACTAGGAACCTCAGGTGCCGTAAGCTTTTGTTTATTTCTTTTTTAGATTATGATGTCATAATCAGATCACTTTTTTCCCTTGTCAGAAGCGTCTTGTCTTTTGTCGCAACCAGTGTTTGATATTATACCAACTTCAGCGAGATCACTTTTTGCTAATTTCGCCTACGGCCCTACCAGTCTGAAAGTGCCTGATCTCGTCAGATATCAAAAGTCATGCAGACTTGTGCCTACTTAGTACTTGTATGGGAGAACAACTAGGAACCTCAGGTGCCGTAAGCTTTTGTTTATTTATTTTTTAGATTATGATGTCATAATCAGATCACTTTTTTCCCTAGTCAGAAGCGTCTTGTCTTTTGTCGCAACCAGTGTTTGATATTATACAAACATCAGCGAGATCACTTTCTGCTAATTTTGCCTATGGCCATACCAGTCTGAAAGTGCCTGATCTCGTCAGATCTCAGAAGTTATGCAGAATTGGGCCTGATTAGTACTTGTATGGGAGACCAACTAGGAACCTCAGGTGCTGTAAGCTTTTGTTTATTTATTTTTTAGATTATGATGTCATAATCAGATCACTTTTTTCCCTATCCAGAAGTGTCTTGTCTTTTGTCGCAACCAGTGTTTGATATTATACAAACATCAGCGAGATCACTTTCTGCTAATTTTGCCTACGGCCATACCAGTATGAAAGTGCCTGATCTCGTCAGATCTCAGAAGTTATGCAGACTTGGGCCTGATTAGAACTTGTATGGGAGACCAAATAGGGACCTCAGGTGCTGTAAGCTTTTGTTTATTTCTTTTTTAGATTATGATGTCATAATCAGATCACTTTTTTCCCTAGTCAGAAGCGTCTTGTCTTTTGTCGCAACCAGTGTTTGATATTATACCAACATCAGCGAGATCACTTTCTGCTAATTTTGCCTACGGCCATACCAGTCTGAAAGCGCCTGATCTCGTCAGATCTCAGAAGTTATTCAGACTTGGGCCTGATTAGTACATGTATGGGAGACCAACTAGGAACCTCAGGTGCCGTAAGCTTTTGTTTATTTTTTTTTTAGATTACGATGTCATAATCAGATCACTTTTTCCCTAGTCAGAAGCGTCTTGTCTTTTGTCGCAACCAGTGTTTGATATTATACCAACATCAGCGATATCAATTTATGCAAATTTCGCCTACGGTCATACCAGTCTGAAAGTGCCTGATCTCGTCAGATCTCAGAAGTCATGCAGACTTGGGCCTGCTTAGTACTTGTATGGGAGACCAACTAGGAACCTCAGGTGCCGTAAGCTTTTGTTTATTTCTTTTTTTAGATTATGATGTCATAATCAGATCACTTTTTTCCCTAGTCAGAAGCGTCTTGTCTTTTGTCGCATCCAGTGTTTGATAGTATACCAATTCAGCGAGATCACTTTCTGCTAATTTCGCCTACAGTCATACCTGTCTGAAAGTTCCTGATCTCGTCAGATATCAGAAGTCATGCAGACTTGGACCTGTTTAGTGCTTGTATGGTAGACCAACTAGGAACCTCAGGTGCCGTAAGCTTTTGTTTATTTATTTCTTAGATTATGATGTCATAATCAGATCACTTTTTTCCCTAGTCAGAAGCGTCTTGTCTTTTGTCGCAACCAGTGTTTGATATTATACCAACATCAGCGAGATCACTTTCTGCTAATTTCGCCTATGGCCATACCAGTCTGAAAGTGCCTGATCTCGTCAGATCTCAGAAGTTATGCAGATTTGGGCCTGATTAGTAGTTGTATGGGAGACCAAATAGGGACCTCAGGTGCTGTAATCTTTTGTTTATTTCTTTTTTAGATTATGATGTCATAATCAGAACACTTTTTTCCCTAGTCAGAAGCGTCTTGTCTTTTGTCGCAACCAGTGTTTGATATTATACCAACATCAGCGATATCACTTTTTGCAAATTTCGCCTACGGCCATAATAGTCTGAAAGAGCCTGATCTCGTCAGATCTCAGAAGTCATGCAGACTTGGGCCTGTTTAGTACTTGTTTGGGAGACCAACTAGGAACCTCAGATGCCGTAAGCATTTGTTTATTTCTTTTTTAGATTATGATGTCATAATCAGATCACTTTTTCCCTAGTCAGAAGCCTTTTGTCTTTTGTCGCAACCAGTGTTTGATATTATACCAACATCAGCGATATCACTTTCTGCTAATTTCGGCTACGGCCATACCGGTTTGAAAGTGCCTGATCTCGTCAGATCTCAGAAGTCATGCAGAATTGGGCCTGCTTAGTACTTGTATGGGAGATCAACTAGGAACCTCAGGTGCCGTAAGCTTTTGTTTATTTCTTTTTTAGATTATGATGTCATAATCAGATCACTTTTTTCCCTAGTCAGAAGCGTCTTGTCTTTTGTCGCAACCAGTGTTTGATATTATACCAACATCAGCGAGAACACCTTCTGCTAATATTGCCTACGGCCATACAAGTCTGAAAGTGCCTGATCTCGTCAGATCTTAGAAGTCATACAGACTTGGGCTTGCTTAGTACTTGTATGGGAGACTAACTAGGAACCTCAGGTGCCGTAAGCTTTTGTTTATTTCTTTTTTAGATTATGATGTCATAATCAGATCACTTTTTTCCCTAGTCAGAAGCGTCTTGTCTTTTGTCGCAACCAGTGTTTGATATTATACAAACATCAGCGAGATCACTTTCTGCTAATTTCGCCTACGGCCATACCAGTCTGAAAGTGCCTGATCTCGTCAGATCTCAGAAGTTATACAGACTTGGGCCTGATTAGTACTTGTATGGGAGACCAACTAGGAACCTCAGGTGCCGTAAGCTTTTGTTTATTTCTTTTTTAGATTATGATGTCATAATCAGATCACTTTTTTCCCTAGTCAGAAGCGTCTTGTCTTTTGTCGCAACCAGTGTTTGATATTATACCAACATCAGCGATATCACTTTTTGTAACTTTCGCCTACGGCCATACCAGTCTGAAAGTGCCTGATCTCGTCAGATCTCAGAAGTCATGCAGGCTTGGACCTGCTTAGTACTTGTATGGGAGACCAACTAGGAACCTCAGGTACCGTAAGCTTTTGTTTATTTCTTTTTTAGATTAGGATGTCATAATCAGATCACTTTTTTCCCTAGTCAGAAGCGTCTTGTCTTTTGTCGTAACCAGTGTTTGATATTATACAAACATCAGCGAGATCACTTTCTGGTATTTTTGCCTACGGGCATACCAGTCTGAAAGTGCCTGATCTCGTCAGATCTCAGAAGTCATGCAGACTTGGGCCTGCTTAGTACTTGTATGGGAGACCAACTAGGAACCTCAGGTGCCGTAAGCTTTTGTTTATTTCTTTTTTAGATTATGATGTCATAATCAGATCACTTTTTTCCCTAGTCAGAAGTGTCTTGTCTTTTGTCGCAACCAGTGTTTGATATTATACAAACATCAGCGAGATCACTTTCTGTTAATTTCGCCTACGGCCATACCAGTCTGAAAGTGCCTGATCTCGTCAGATCTCAGAAGTCATGCAGGCTTGGCCTGCTTAGTGCTGTATGGAACTAGGAACCTCTCAGGTGCCGTAGGGATGCTGTTTATTTCTTTTTTTAGATTATGATGTCATAATCAGATCACTTTTCACTAGTCAGAAGGCGTCTTGTCTTTTGTAGCAGCAGTGTTTGATATTATACCAACATCGAGAGATCACTTTTCGTAATTTAGCCTACGGCCATACCAGTCTGAAAGTGCCCGATCTCGTCAGTTCTCAGAAGTCATGCAGACTTGGGCCTGCTTAGTACTTGTATGGAAGACCAACTAGGAACCTCAAGTGCCGTAAGCTTTTGTTTATTTCTTTTTTAGATTATGATGTCATAATCAGATCACTTTTTTCCCTAGTCAGAAGCGTCTTGTCTTTTGTCGCAACCAGTGTTTGATATTATACAAACATCAGCGAGATCACTTTCTGTTACTTTTGCCTATGGCCATACCAGTCTGAAAGTGCCTGATCTCATCAGATCTCAGAAGTCATGCAGACTTGGGCCTGCTTAGTACTTGTATGGGAGACCAACTAGGAACCTCAGGTGCCGTAAGCTTTTGTTTATTTATTTTTTAGATTATGATGTCATAATCAGATCACTTTTTTCCCTAGTCAGAAGCGTCTTGTCTTTTGTCGCAACCAGTGTTTGATATTATACCAACATCAGCGAGATCACTTTCTGCTAATTTCGCCGACGGCCATACCAGTCTGAAAGTGCCTGATCTCGTCAGATCTCAGAAGTTATGCAGACTTGGGCTTGATTAGTACTTGTATGGGAGAACAACTAGGAACCTCAGGTGCCGTAAGCTTTTGTTTATTTCTTTTTTAGATTATGATGTCATAATCAGATCACTTTTTCCCTAGTCAGAAGCGTCTTGTCTTTTGTCGCAACAAGTGTTTGATATTATACCAACATCAGCGATATCACTTTTTGCAAATTTCGCCTACGGCCCTACCAGTCTGAAAGTGCCTGATCTCGTCAGATATCAAAAGTCATGCAGACTTGGGCCTACTTAGTACTTGTATGGGAGAACAACTAGGAACCTCAGGTGCCGTAAGCTTTTGCTTATTTATTTTTTAGATTATGATGTCATAATCAGATCACTTTTTTCCCTAGTCAGAAGCGTCTTGACTTTTGTCGCAACCAGTGTTTGATATTATACCAACATCAGCGAGATCACTTTCTGTTAATTTTGCCTACGTTCATACCAGTCTGAAAGTGCCTGATCTCGTCAGTTCTCCGAAGTCATGCAGATTTGGGCCTGATTAGTACTTGTATGGGAGACCATCTAGGATCCTCAGGTGCCGTAAGCTTTTGTTTATTTCTTTTTTAGATTATGATGTCATAATCAGATCACTTTTTTCCCTAGTCAGAAGCGTCTTGTCTTTTGTCGCAACCAGTGTTTGATATTATACAAACATCAGCGAGATCACTTTCTGCTATTTTCGAATACGGCCATACCAGTCTGAAAGTGCCTGATCTCGTCAGATCTCAGAAGTTATGCAGACTTGGGCCTGATTAGCACTTTTATGGGAGACCAACTAGGAACCTCAGGTGCCGTAAGCTTTTGTTTATTTCTTTTTTAGATTATGATGTCATAATCAGATCACTTTTTTCCCTTGTCAGAAGCGTCTTGTCTTTTGTCGCAACCAGTGTTTGATATTATACCAACATCAGCGAGATCACTTTCTGCTAATTTCGCTTACGGCCATACCAGTCTGAAAGTGCCTGATTTCGTCAGATCTCAGAAGTTATGCAGACTTGGGCTTGATTAGTACTTGTATGGGAGACCAACTAGGAACCTCAGGTGCAGTAGGCTTTTGTTTATTTCTTCTTTAGATTATGATGTCATAATCAGATCACTTTTTCCTTAGTCAGAAGCGTCTTGTCTTTTGTCGCAACCAGTGTTTGATATTATACCAACATCAGCGATATCACTTTTTGCAAATTTCGCCTACGGCCATACCAGTCTGAAAGTGCCTGATGTCGTCAGATATCAGAAGTCATGCAGACTTGGGCCTACTTAGTACTTGTATGGGAGAACAACTAGGAACCTCAGGTGCCGTAAGCTTTTGTTTATTTCTTTTTTAGATTATGATGTCATAATCAGATCACTTTTTTCCCTAGTCAGAAGCGTCTTGACTTTTGTCGCAACCAGTGTTTGATATTATACCAACATCAGCGAGATCACTTTCTGTTAATTTTGCCTACGTTCATACCAGTCTGAAAGTGCCTGATCTCGTCAGTTCTCCGAAGTCATGCAGATTTGGGCCTGATTAGTACTTGTATGGGAGACCATCTAGGATCCTCAGGTGCCGTAAGCTTTTGTTTATTTCTTTTTTAGATTATGATGTCATAATCAGATCACTTTTTTCCCTTGTCAGAAGCGTCTTGTCCTTTGTCGCAACCAGTGTTTGATATTATACCAACTTCAGCGAGTTCACTTTCTGCTAATTTCGCCTACGGCCATACCAGTCTGATAGTGCCAGATCTCAGAAGTCATGCAGACTTGGGCCTGCTTAGTACTTGTATGGGAGACCAACTAGGAACCTCAGGTGCTGTAAGATTTTGTTTATTTATTTTTTAGATTATGATGTCATAATCAGATCACTTTTTTCCCTTGTCAGAAGTGTCTTGTCTTTTGTCGCAACCAGTGTTTGATATTATACAAACATCAGCGAGATCACTTTCTACTAATTTTGCCTACGGCCATACAAGTCTGAAAGTGCCAGATCTCAGAAGTCATGCAAACTTGGCCTGCTTAGTACTTGTATGGGAGACCAACTAGGAACCTCAGGTGCTGTAAGCTTTTGTTTATTTCTTTTTTAGATTATGATGTCATAATCAGAACACTTTTTTCCCTAGTCAGAAGCGTCTTGTCTTTTGTCGCAACCAGTGTTTGATATTATACCAACATCAGCGAGATCACTTTCTGCTAATTTCGCCTACGGCCATACCAGTCTGAAAGCGCCTGATCTCGTCAGATCTCAGAAGTTATTCAGACTTGGGCCTGATTAGTACATGTATGGGAGACCAACTAGGAACCTCAGGTGCCGTAAGCTTTTGTTTATTTTTTTTTTAGATTACGATGTCATAATCAGATCACTTTTTCCCTAGTCAGAAGCGTCTTGTCTTTTGTCGCAACCAGTGTTTGATATTATACCAACATCAGCGATATCAATTTATGCAAATTTCGCCTACGGTCATACCAGTCTGAAAGTGCCTGATCTCGTCAGATCTCAGAAGTAATGCAGACTTGGGCCTGCTTAGTACTTGTATGGGAGACCAACTAGGAACCTCAGGTGCCGTAAGCTTTTGTTTATTTCTTTTTTTAGATTATGATGTCATAATCAGATCACTTTTTTCCCTAGTCAGAAGCGTCTTGTCTTTTGTCGCATCCAGTGTTTGATAGTATACCAACATCAGCGAGATCACTTTCTGCTAATTTCGCCTACAGCCATACCTGTCTGAAAGTTCCTGATCTCGTCAGATATCAGAAGTCATGCAGACTTGGACCTTTTTAGTGCTTGTATGGTAGACCAACTAGGAACCTCAGGTGCCGTAAGTTTTTGTTTATTTCTTTTTTAGATTATGATGTCATAATCAGATCACTTTTTTCCCTAGTCAGAAGCGTCTTGTCTTTTGTCGCAACCAGTGTTTGATATTATACCAACATCAGCGAGATCAATTTCTACTAATTTTGCCTATGGCCATACCAGTCTGAAAGTGCCTGATCTCGTCAGATCTCAGAAGTCGTGCAGACTTGGGCCTACTTAGTACTTGTATGGGAGAACAGCTAGGAACCTCAGGTGCCGTAAGCTTTTGTTTATTTCTTTTTTAGATTATGATGTCATAATCAGAACACTTTTTTCCCTAGTCAGAAGCGTCTTGTCTTTTGTCGCAACCAGTGTTTGATATTATACCAACATCAGCGATATCACTTTTTGCTAATTTCGTCTACGCACATACCAGTCTGAAAGACCCTGATCTCGTCAGATCTCAGAAGTCATGCAGACTTGGGCCTGTTTAGTACTTGTATGGGAGACCAACTAGGAACCTCAGGTGCCGTAAGCTTTTGTTTATTTCTTTTTTAGATTATGATGTCATAATCAGATCACTTTTTCCCTAGTCAGAAGCCTTTTGTCTTTTGTCGCAACCAGTGTTTGATATTATACCAACATCAGCGATATCACTTTCTGCTAATTTCGGCTACGGCCATACCGGTCTGAAAGTGCCTGATCTCGTCAGATCTCAGAAGTCATGCAGAATTGGGCCTGCTTAGTACTTGTATGGGAGATCAACTAGGAACCTCAGGTGCCGTAAGCTTTTGTTTATTTCTTTTTTAGATTATGATGTCATAATCAGATCACTTTTTTCCCTAGTCAGAAGCGTCTTGTCTTTTGTCGCAACCAGTGTTTGATATTATACCAACATCAGCGAGAACACCTTCTGCTAATATTGCCTACGGCCATACCAGTCTGAAAGTGCCTGATCTCGTCAGATCTCAGAAGTTATACAGACTTGGGCCTGATTAGTACTTGTATGGGAGACCAACTAGGAGCCTCAGGTGCCGTAAGCTTTTGTTTATTTCTTTTTTAGATTATGATGTCATAATCAGATCACTTTTTTCCCTAGTCAGAAGCGTCTTGTCTTTTGTCGCAACCAGTGTTTGACATTATACAAACATCAGCGAGATCACTTTCTGCTAATTTCGCCTACGGCCATACCAGTCTCAAAGTGCCTGATCTCGTCAGATCTCAGAAGTTATACAGACTTGGGCCTGATTAGTACTTGTATGGGAGACCAACTAGGAGCCTCAGGTGCCGTAAGCTTTTGTTTATTTCTTTTTTAGATTATGATGTCATAATCAGATCACTTTTTCCCTAGTCAGAAGCGTCTTGTCTTTTGTCGCAACCAGTGTTTGATATTATACCAACATCAGCGATATCACTTTTTGCAAATTTCACCTACGGCCATTCCAGTCTGAAAGTGCCTGATGTCGTCAGATATCAGAAGTCATGCAGACTTGGGCCTACTTAGTACTTGTATGGGAGAACAACTAGGAACCTCAGGTGCCGTAAGCTTTTGTTTATTTATTTTTTAGATTATGATGTCATAATCAGATCACTTTTTTCCCTAGTCTGAAGCGTCTTGACTTTTGTCGCAACCAGTGTTTGATATTATACCAACATCAGCGAGATCACTTTCTTTTAATTTTGCCTACGTTCATACCAGTCTGAAAGTGCCTGATCTCATCAGATCTCCGAAGTCATGCAGATTTGGGCCTGATTAGTACTTGTATGGGAGACCATCTAGGATCCTCAGGTGCCGTAAGCTTTTGTTTATTTCTTTTTTAGATTATGATGTCATAATCAGATCACTTTTTTCCCTAGTCAGAAGTGTCTTGTCTTTTGTCGCAACCAGTGTTTGATATTATACAAACATCAGCGAGATCACTTTCAGTTAATTTCGCCTACGGCCATACCAGTCTGAAAGTGCCTGATCTCGTCAGATCTCAGAAGTCATGCAGGCTTGGGCCTGCTTAGTACTTGTATGGGAGACCAACTAGGAACCTCAGGTGCCGTAAGTTTTTGTTTATTTCTTTTTTAGATTATGATGTCATAATCAGATCACTTTTTTCACTAGTCAGAAGCGTCTTGTCTTTTGTCGCAACCAGTGTTTGATATTATACCAACATCCGCGAGATCACTTTCTATTAATTTCGCCTATGGCCATACCAGTCTGAAAGTGCCTGATCTCGTCAGATCTCAGAAGTCATGCAGACTTGGGCCTGCTTAGTACTTGTATGGGAGATCAACTAGGAACCTCAGGTGCCGTAAGCTTTTGTTTATTTCTTTTTTAGATTATGATGTCATAATCAGATCACTTTTTTCCCTAGTCAGAAGCGTCTTGTCTTTTGTCGCAACCAGTGTTTGATATTATACCAACATCAGCGAGTTCTCTTTTTACTAATTTCGCCTATGGCCATACCAGTCTGAAAGTGCCAGATCTCAGAAGTCATGCAGACTTGGGCCTGATTAGTACTTGTATGGGAGACCAACTAGGAACCTCATGTGCCGTAAGCTTTTGTTTATTTCTTTTTTTAGATTATGATGTCATAAATCAGATCACTTTTTTTCCTAGTCAGAAGCGTCTTGTCTTTTGTCGCAAATAGTATTTGATATTATACCAACATCAGCGAGATCACTTTCTGCTAGTTCCGCTTATGGCCGGACCAGTCTGAAAGTGCCTGATCTCGTCAGATCTCAGAAGTCATGCAGACTTGGTCCTGCTTAGTACTTGTATGTGAGACTAACTAGGAACCTCAGAAGCCGTAAGCTTTTGTTTATTTCTTTTTTAGATTATGATGTCATAATCAGATCACTTTTTTCCTTAGTCAGAAGCGTCTTGTCTTTTGTTGCAACCAGTGTTTGATATTATACCAACATCAGCGAGACCACTTTCTACTAATTTCGCCTATGGCCATACGAGTCTGAAAGTTTCAGATCTCTGAAGTCATGCAGACTTGGGCCTGATTAGTACTTGTATGGGAGACAAACTAGGAACCTCAGGTGCCGTAAGCTTTTGTTTATTTCTTTTTTAGATTATGATGTCATAATCAGATCACTTTTTCCCTAGTCAGAAGCGTCTTGTCTTTTGTTGCAACCAGTGTTTGATATTATACCAACATCAGCGATATCACTTTTTGCTAATTTTGCCTATGGCCATACCAGTCTGTAAGTGCCTGATCTCGTCAGATCTCAGAAGTCGTGCAGACTTGGGCCTGCTTAGTACTTGTATGGGAGACCAGCTAGGTACCTCAGGTGTAGTAAGCTTTTGTTTATTTCTTTTTTAGATTATGATGTCATAATCAGATCACTTCTTTCCCTAGTCAGAAGCGTCTTGTCTTTTGTCGCAACCAGTGTTTGTTATTATACCAACATCAGCGAGATCACTTTCTGCTAAATTCGCCTACGGCCATACCAGTCTGAAAGTGCCCGATCTCGTCAGTTCTCAGAAGTCATGCAGACTTGGGCTTGATTAGTACTTGTATGGGAGACCAACTAGGAACCTCAGGTGCCGTAAGCTTTTGTTTATTTCTTTTTTAGATTATGATGTCATAATCAGATCACTTTTTCCCTAGTCAGAAGCGTCTTGTCTTTTGTCGCAACCAGTGTTTGATATTATACCAACATCAGCGATATCACTTTTTGTAACTTTCGCCTACGGCCATACCAGTCTGAAAGTGCCTGATCTCGTCAGATCTCAGAAGTCATGCAGGCTTGGACCTGCTTAGTACTTGTATGGGAGACCAACTAGGAACCTCAGGTACCGTAAGCTTTTGTTTATTTCTTTTTTAGATTAGGATGTCATAATCAGATCACTTTTTTCCCTAGTCAGAAGCGTCTTGTCTTTTGTCGTAACCAGTGTTTGATATTATACAAACATCAGCGAGATCACTTTCTGGTATTTTTGCCTACGGGCATACCAGTCTGAAAGTGCCTGATCTCGTCAGATCTCAGAAGTCATGCAGACTTGGGCCTGCTTAGTACTTGTATGGGAGACCAACTAGGAACCTCAGGTGCCGTAAGCTTTTGTTTATTTCTTTTTTAGATTATGATGTCATAATCAGATCACTTTTTTCCCTAGTCAGAAGCATCTTGTCTTTTGTCGCAACCAGTGTTTGATATTATACCAACATCAGCGAGATCACTTTCTACTAATTTCAACTATGGCCATACCAGTCTGAAAGTGCCTGATCTTGTCAGATCTCAGAAGTCATGCAGACTTGGGCCTGCTTAGTACTTGTATGGGTGACCAACTAGGAACCTCAGGTGCTGTAAGTTTTTGTTTATTTCTTTTTTAGATTATGATGTCATAATCAGATCACTTTTTTCCCTAGTCAGAAGCGTCTTGTCTTTTGTCGCAACCAGTGTTTGATATTAAACCAACATCAGCGAGATCACTTTCTACTAACTTCAACTATGGCCATACCAGTCTGAAAGAGCCTGATCTCGTCAGATCTCAGAAGTCATGCAGACTTGGGCCTGCTTAGTTTTTGTATGGGAGACCAACTAGGAACCTCAGGTGCTGTAAGCTTTTGTTTATTTCTTTTTTAGATTATGATGTCATAATCAGATCACTTTTTCCCTAGTCAGAAGCGTCTTGTCTTTTGTCGCAACCAGTGTTTGATATTATACCAACATCAGCGAGAACACTTTCTGCTAATTTCACCTACGGCCATACAAGTCTGAAAGTGCCTGATCTCGTCAGATCTTAGAAGTCATACAGACTTGGGCTTGCTTAGTACTTGTATGGGAGACCAACTAGGAACCTCAGGTGCTGTAAGCTTTTGTTTATTTATTTTTTAGATTATGATGTCATAATCAGATCACTTTTTTCCCTAGTCAGAAGTGTCTTGTCTTTTGT